ACACACACACACACACACACACACACACACACACACACACAAACTTAAAACACATACAGACAGAAAGATGCACAGGAATATATACATCCACACTCACGTACAATGCTCAAGCTAACCTCTTTGCCAGGGCATTTTCTACGTTATTTTGAACAAACCTCCGTATAGTTCTACTTACAAAAACTGACCCTCTGGGTAAGGTATATTATTGAAAACCAGCAAAAGAAGGTCAAACACTGAGTTCTAGGTTCTTTATTATAAAACCTTGTAGGACCTGGATAAAATGTATAGATTCGCCGTTATGAACAATAACAGCACAATGACTGACAAGCAGCAAGGCTAAATGAAATGAAAGGGCAACTGGGCCTAGAAACAATCACTTCACATGGCAAGAGCTTTCTGTTACTTCCCAGGACAGAAAGGATATATCAAAAGACAAACAAATCTCAGAGGGATGCTCAATGCATGCTCATTCTGCATTTTATGTATTATAAATTATTTTATGATCATTAATTATACACCAGGTGGTTATTTTCTGAATTTGTGTGTCTGTTTGTATATATGCTTTCATGTGTGTTCACACGAGTATGCCTGTGTGTAGGGGCAGCCAGAGGTCGACACGAGGCATCCTTCCGTCTCCCCACCTTACTTTTCAACAGTCTCTCTCACTGAAGCTGGAGCTCCCCAGTTGGCTGGGCGGACTGGATGGCAAGGCCCCGGTCCCTGTCTCTGCCTCCCTAATGCTGGGGTTATAGAGACACCACTGCACTCAGATGCGTTCAGATCTGTTCTGCCTTCCTTTCACACCCCCTTTCTCTCGAGAATTTTGTATATGTGCCGTGTGCTTCGATCACACTCCGAATTCCAAGGGCTCCAAGTCTTCCCCCATCCTCTCTATTATCTGCTCCCAACTTTCTGTCTATGTTTTCTTGCTGCTGTTGTTGTTGTCCGGAGTCCATGTATTTGGCTGGGTAGAGAGCCTTCTGCTGGTACCTGGGTAGCCTCTCAATGTCCCATCCTTGAAGAAAACTGACCTTCTTCCCAGTAGCCATCAATTGTTAACAGTGCCTCAGCTAAGGTGGGATTTGGTGCTCATCGCCCTGCTCCATACTTGGATTTGGTTGGGCGTGAGCTCACCCAGGATTTGTGCATGCTGTCACATCCTCTGTGAGTTGGTATGTGCGGCCACTCTGTTGTGTCCTGAAAGGTTCCCTTGCCTTTAAGAGGTAAAGGCTCTTAGAATCTTTCCATCCTCCTTTGGCAATGATCCCTGAGCCTTGGGAGGCACCCGGCTCCTTTTGCTTCTGTGGACTCAGGAGGACTAAACCCAGGTCCTCCGGCTTGCAGTATACTAACTGAGCCATCTTCCCAGTCCTAATTCACCTAAGAGACCAGGACTTTCCATGCTGCCCTGCTAACCCTGACTGGCCTCCTCCTCCCTCAGGCCTTAGGTAGCTGGAACTACATTCACACCTGCATGCATAGGCTACCACACCTGTCTAAGCTGAACAATTTAAGTTGATGAAGCTTTTTTTTTTTGCTTCTTTTTGTTGTTTAGAGGTCGAAAGACAACATCCTGTATGAAGTTAAGAATCATAAATCAGGAAGGGATGAACAAAAGAACGAGGAAGGAATATTTATTCAAATGCCCCAATTCAGTCACTTAAACATGATGACTCCTCTTTCATGGTTCTGAATAACAAAACAAACTTTTTCATATAGATATAAATTTTAGTTCTTAATAACTTCTCAGCCTCCTGTGACTGACTGAAACTACATATTAATATCCTACAAGTAGCCACAAGCTGAAAGCTTATTTTCATATTAAATAAAGTCTAGACATGTTTAAAGTACAAAAGGCTTTAACTCATTAAACACAAGACTTTTAGCCCAGAAGTTATTTTGTCCTTTGACTCCATTTCACCTTTCACCTTCACAGAAGGGTAAGCACGAAGATTTTACCAGCAACCATTAAGGGCCACAGAGGATGTAGCAAAAGGGGCTGGGGACTTACCAGAAATCCCAATCCTCTGGTGTCAGAGTGAGTGACTCCTCATCATACCCCTTCTCCTTGACTAAGAACTGCGCAAAGCTGTTGTAAATGAGCTGCAAAGAAGGGAAGCAAAAAGAGAGATTAACCATGAAGTCCACTATTCATTCTTCATTTCATACACCTGGAAACCTAATGGGGTCGCTGATGGGGCCAGGGAGCAGGGCACTATCCATAACGGTGAAGTTCTGCTGCTGATTAATCCCCTTCCCAGGCGAGTTGGTCAGTCCCAAAGAGTCCTGAAATTGTACCCTGAGTACACAACCACACAACCAAAGACAGGAATCATCTTACACCCAGGTCCTAATGGATTGGCAGTCATCAGTAAGACCTGGCAATGCTCTGTAGCTACTAGACTATCACCAGGACAATAATAAGCACGCTGGCCATTCAATCCTTAGCTCTCACTTTGGTCCATCAGTGCTAACAAAGGCCTGGGCTGACAGGAGACTCAGTGAGATACATCAAGCCAGGCAGATGAGTTAGGAGGAAACACGAGGCCTCTATCAGACACAGGAGCCTCTGATCTGTCTGTGCAAAGGCAACTAAGCACAAAGGAGGTGGGAAGCCTTTGGAAGCCAGCACAGGTTAAACCAAAGCTCTCATTGTTGATAGACCTGATTTCTCAACAGCTTTTATTTTAATTAAAATACCCATATTTAATAAGCAGCTTGATGCTGGGGAGAGGACTCAGTGGGCGAAGTGCCTGCTGCGTAAGCGTGAGGACCCGAGTTCAAATCCCCAGCACCCACGTAAAATCTGGGCATGACACCCATTTGTAACTGGAGCACTGGGGGTCAGAGAAAGCGGTTCTCCAGAACTTGTTGGTTGGCTGAATCTGTGAGCCAAGTGCAGTGATTCACCACCACCTAGCAGACGGGGCAGAGCTGGTGACCCCAGGGACATGGAGAACCAGGCAGGTGTAGGCACCGAGGGGCCTGTACTCGGCAGTAGCTGGGGTGGTGGGGGCTGGGTGCTAGGACATGAGAATGGAGAAAACAAAGGCTTCTGAAGAGAGCTGCTCTCTGTCTAAACGCTGATTCAAAACACCGAGTGTGACTCCCGTCTAGTGCAGTGTGACCCTCATCCAGGTCACACTATTTATCAACAGTTCTACATCACGGAGGTGATTCAGAATGGGTGCTGCCTCCTAAAGTCACTAGACTCTCAGAGAGAGGCCCTGGTGGGTTCTTATGATTCATCCCCCCCCCCCTTTTAAAATAGGATCTCACTATGTAGCCCTGGCTGGCCTGAAGCTAGACAGACCCACCAGCCTCTGCCTCTCTAATACCGGGATTAAGAAGCATGTGCTCCACCAGGCTCAGCCCCTGCAGGATTCTTGAGGCCTGGGAACCACAGACATACAAGTTGAAAAAAAATTTAAAATGTACTGAGTCACACCAAGGTTCAAAGTAACCACTCCGAGCAGTGACAGTGTATCTGTGGTGATCCTGCCTGCAGGGTCGACTGCCAGCCTGGGGTTAACAGACGTAAGGCTTAGAGAAGTACTTGGCACACAGGCAAATTCAACGGAAGCATTTGCTATTGCCATTGGTCCTGTGTTAACTATAAACCAACACCACGACTGACTGTAACACCTGCCCGTTTCCACTGTATAAATATGCCTATCCTGCCAGCCCATAACACAGGTTTGGCTTCCACTAGAATCTGCCAAATAAAGAGTGACAAATTAAATCCAAATGTTAGATTAATAGCAAATAGGTTTTTTTTTTTCCTGATAACCATGTTCCATGTAATAGTTGGGGTGTTCATAAAAACCAGGAATGCTTCCGTAATTTGAAATTCAAATTGAACTGTGTGCTGTGTTTTAATTGCTCAACCTGGCAACCCTATGATCCTGCTGTGTTGGAAAATGAGGCAATGTCCCGAAATGGGAAGGTTTCAAATTAGTTCAGATGTCCAGCTTACAAAAGCGAATTAGACCTGGTGGGACGGAGCTGCTCTTGGTTAACACTGGAAAGACTGGCGTGTGGCTACTCCTTCAGATGGGGCACAGTCTCAGTGTCAGACACCCCATTCTCCTGAAACTGGTGAGTGGGTGTCACCTGACCTTTCAGTCTGCAAGCCCAAAGGACACAGGTGTCAAGCGTCATGTCCTCTGGGATGCTGTCCCTGCAGCCCTGGGAGAAGGGACACATACAGACACACATTTGCAAAATTCCATGCACTCGTTAAATGCCGCACCGAGAACATCCCCGAGTCCTCTCCAAGCCTCTGCGGTTCCCACTTTCTGAACACCTACCTCTGCTGTCCCCTGCATGCCCCTTTCACCTGCCACCTTCCAGTTCCAACTCCACGTGGACACCCTGCCCTAGGCCTCTCCTCTGCAGTTTAAGAGTGCCTGGGTGTGAGACATGAGAACTCAAGCCTCAGCATCGTGCGGAGGGACCCAAAGACATCAGGATTTGCTAAGGACTTAACCGTTTTGTGCCCTGTGGTTAGGGATTCTCCAGGGGGGCTGTGATGCTGCTCCAGCTAATCTTGTCAACTTGGATCTTGGAACCACCTAGGAGACAGACCTCTATGGCGGTCTTTGAGGGTGTTTCCACAGAGATTTCGCTGGGGAGGTACAACCTACTCTGAATGAAGGTAGTACCATCCCAAGGGCTGGGAGCCCAGACTGAATGAAAGTGGAATAAAAAGCCAGTAGAGGGGTTGGGAGATGGCTCAGTAGCTGCAGTACTTGGCATACAAACACTTGTAACCTTAGCATAGAGTGGCAGAGACAGGATTCCTCAGAGCTCCTCAGCCAGCCAGCAGTCTAGCTGAAAAAATGAGCTAGGCTCCAGGTTCAGTGAAGAGACTCTGTTATAAAAAATAAACTGGAGGGGTTGGAAAAAAAGGCTTGGTGGGTAGAGGTGCTTGCAGCCAAGTCTGACAACCCGAGTTCAATTCCCAGATCCCCCATGGTGGAAGGAGATAACTGACTCCACGTGTGCACACATCATGTACATGTACACACACACACACACACACACCCTGCCAGCAGAGCACCAACATTTCTCTCTCTGCTTGCTGACTGATGATACAATGTGACCAGCTGCCTCAGTTTCCTGCTGCTCCCCCCTCATGGCCAGGATGGACTGAAACCCTAGAAACAGTGAACCAAATTAAATCCTTCCTTAAGTTGCTTCTTGTCAGGGATTGGGTCACAGCAATCAGAAAAGTAACTAAGACAAGTTCAACTTATCCACATAAGCAGACTCCATATTAAAATCGTGGCTATGTGAATCCATAATCCCAAAGGGGGGGGGGGGGACACAGGGACAGACAGCTCCAAAGGGCTTGCTGGCCAGCCAGTCTAGCCGAAGTGGGGATTTCCATGTTCATGGAGTCGCTGTCTCAAAAGGTAAGGTGGAGAGCAGGAGAGGAAGACACATGACATTGACCTTTGACTTCCACGTGTGTAGGACACCCCTACACATACACGCATATCACCCCACACTCCCACACACACACACATGCCAAAACAGAAAAAAGTGACTGTGTCACACTCAGCTCCTAAAGTCCTTTACCTCCAACCACATCATAATTTACCGAGCCCAAGGTGCTCAGTGCTAACTCGCGGGACACAGAAAACACTGTCCATCAGCCTGATGCTAAGAAGACTGGGCTCCTCGGGGAGGGTTCCAAAGAGCACCCGGGAAATGTTAAAACCTTCTGCTGGGCGGTGGTGGCGCACGCCTTTAATCCCAGCACTCGGGAGGCAGAGCCAGGTGGATTTCCGTGAGTTCAAGGCCAGCCTGGGCTACCGAGTGAGTTCCAGGAAAGGCGCAAAGCTACACAAGGAAACCCTGTCTCGAAAAACAAACAAAAAAACCCTTCCGGTGAGTGTTTGGTGAGGTTAAATTTTCAGGAAAACTGGAGGTGGTGCCATGATACAGTTCACAGGTGGGAAGGGAAGGGCTGGGGGTGGCTTCATAAGGAAACGGTATTTAACCTGAGACCCCTGCATGAAGAAGAGAGACACCGTGAAGCGGGGCCTCCAGCACAGGCAGCGGCATGCAGCAAGACAGCAAAGACTGCCCTCCACTACGAGGATGGAAAAGAACTTTACACCACCTTTCTGCTCACAGGCTGCTGCCCGCCCCCTCCCGTGAGTGGTTCATTTCTGTGTCCCTAACTAAGTCCCTGGTGCCAACCAGATGCCGTTGAGTTTACAACTTTATTTAAAATGCACAGAGCGAGTAGTAGGGTGCACAATAAACACTCGTTTTTCTTCTCTTGATAAAGACCAAAGCAGGGCTAAGACTTGAATGACTTTTCGGACGGTGTTTCTCACAATACTGTTACGCAGTCTCTTCCCTAATTGCAGTGCTTAAACTCTGACAGGTGATTATTCGGCCGTGCAAAAGGAAAGGTGCAGCCACGTTTTCCAGAAGTGGCCGTACCCAATCAGCGGGTGCCCAGAGGAATTGGAAAGAAATACCGGGGCCTAGGATCAGCAAATGACACCCAAAGACCCCGGCCCAGTCTTTCCAGTGCCCTAGAAGCCGGTTCCCGTGCTCCATCGGGTGCTATCTTCTGCCCCAGGTTTCCTCCTCTGTCCCCGCCGGGCCCCACCAACACACTTCCGCCCAGCGCCCGGGGGGAACCTACGACGCTGCGCAGCCGCCGTGGAGGCGGTGCGCTTGGTGCTGCCCGCGCCACTCACCCGGGCACTCTCGGGCAGGTTATAGCGGCACAGGGTGTGGTCAAGGTCGAAGCCCACCACGTCGCAGGCGGACAAGGAGAAGGGCTGAGCCATGGCTGCGCAGCCGAGGGTGCCGAGACCGGAAGGCTGGTAGAGCGCGCCGGGAGGAATCACCAAGACAAGCCAGGCTCGCAGGAAGGAGGCGGGGCCGGGCGGGGCCTGACGACCTAGGGCGGGGCCTCACGGGGCGGGGCCTCACGGGGCGGGGCCTCACGGGGCGGGGCCTCACGGGGCGGGGCCTCACGGGGC